TGCGGAGACACCGTTTCGAATTCGACGGTTAACCATCAAACGACACCGTTTTGAACCCGTCGGTTCGTTTTTAAATTTGCCCGTTTAACTGCTGCAGCTCTCTTTTCACGGCCGCATTTATTACGCACGTCATTCAGAGGACAACTGTCGCGTCACGTGCCGTGTCTTAATCAAACTTCTCAGACGGGCCCACCTAAGCCCATTTCAACACTCTTTTCCGATTTTGTACATTTTAAAATCCTTCAAGTGTTTCACTTCGGCTACGGCCACAGTGACTTAGTCACATATTTTACTTCGGCTACGGCCACAGTGACCCCGTGTTACATGCTTCACTTCGGCTACGGCCATAGTGACCCCGTGTCACATGCTTTACTTCGGCTACGGCCACAGTGACTTAGTCACATATTTTACTTCAGCTACGGCCACAGTTACCCCGTGTCACATGCTTCACTTCGGCTACGGCCATAGTGACTTAGTCACATATTTTACTTCGGCTACGGCCTCAGTGACCCATTCACACTTCACTTCGGCTACGGCCACAGTTACTTAGTCACATATTTTGCTTCGACTACGGCCATAGTGACCTAGTGTCACACGTTTTACTTCCGTTCCGGCCACCGTGACCATGGTTAGCACTTTTTATTATGACTCATAACTACACGTGGCCTATAGTCATCTATTCAGGTAAAGGAACGGGTTTTCATTCCCATACTCATTTCTATTTATGCATTACCCCTATCATTTCCAACAACATCATTCACAAGTGAATGACTTCGAGGGGGGGGGGGAATAGTGTAAGGGTAAGTCCAAAGCTTCCCGCTCGAACAGCTACACAGCTGTTACGATGGACATCCTTGCATCTAAACATATCTCAATCCCCCAACCCCGAAATAACTGCTTGGAGATACATATCAAATCCCGAATATCTTACTCGGCTCAATCTCCCGATCCCGAAATAACTGCCTGGAGATACACATCGGATCCCGGATATCTTGCCTGACATCTTGATTGGCATGACGCGTGGATTCTTCATCGGAACATATAAATACCCCTTAAGGGCCACGTCAAAAAGGTAATTGAAACCAACCCTAAGCTCCTTGTTTCTCCGCTTCAAAGGTAACCCCGATTATTGCTGACTTAAGCATCGGAGTGTCTACCCCGAGGATCCACCTCGGGGCTTTGCAGGTCAATCTAGAGTGCAGATATGGACTGAAGAAGGACTTCCGATTTGGTGCTGTTATAATTTTGTTCCTGGAGAATTTTAATGGCATACCAAGAAAAAGAAAAGCTTGAAGTTGCAACAGAACAATGATAAAAATAAAAGAAAATCGAAAGAAATTGAAAGAAGAATTAGCTCCATTATCAGTACCCAATACCAATATTACTGTCATCCCCTTGAAATAGGACTTGGGAGTAGAAAATCATCGAAAAAAAAAATGGAAGAGAAAGGAGATTAGTTGTAGTGTCAGCAAGAAGAACGGAGAAGCAACAAGGAGGGTGAAATGAGATGGGACGAGAGAAAAGAGAGAGCAAATATAAAAAAAAAAAAACAAAAAAAAAAAACCCCCTAAATTATTAACTAAATTTAAAGGTTTAGATTCAATCAAATGAACCTAATCTAATAACTAAAATAAAATAAATAAAAATAATGATTATATAAAATAATAAGTTTAAGTTTTATGCCCGAGACTCATAATATTTTGAATTATATTTAGAAAAGTCAAAAAGAAACCAGGAGATTCCAAAGCTTAATTAGCGGGATTTTTGGCACAAAACGACAAAAAGAATGGTGAAATAAAATAAAATAAAATAATCAGCTTTTTGGGTGGATTGGGCCTACTAATGTAGTCAACGGTTTCCTGGGACTGAAACCGTCCAACGCCTGACTAGGCTTTTGTTAGCAACCAAAACCATGGCCCAACCCATCGAAACCCCTTTCACAAGTCACACTGCACCATTTGTTGCGAGTACAGGCGGTTCCAGACACACCACCAGTTTCAGTGGAAAAGTGCCAACCCTGATATTAATGATTTAGGGTGCGTTTGGGACTACCTTTTGATATTTTTTCGTGTAATTACATAATATTTTTAAATACATATATATTTGATAATATTTTTTTAAATTATTTTTTAAAATTATAAAAAATCAAAATAGATTTATAATAATTTTATATATAAAGTAAAGACCTCATTTTGAAATTTTATGATAATTGTTTTTACAAAAAACACATAATATTTAATATAATTACAAAATTACTTATTAAAATCTAATTTCGTATAATTAATTTCATCATAATTTATAATATTTTAATAATAATAAAAAATTTATTAGTCACAACATTTCACAACAATTTTAAACACAAGCCAGTTAAAAACCTTTTAGCTACATAAAAAATTTAATTAACAAGATTCGGCTGCAACCTTCCTCATTAATATAAGTCAATAATAAACTCGACAATAATGTTGTTGAGTTTCCAAAATCAGTGACAAATAATGGTTAGTTCAATTTTGTTGATTGAATAGTTCGGCAGCGTTTTATACTTAGGTTAAACACCTAATCCTTATCACTAAAATTTAATTATTACAACGTAATCTTTATAGCTAAATTTGGGACACAATGAAATTGTAAACTTAGCTTATAATAATATAAAGCACATATCTAATCACAAGATGAAAACGGGGTGACATAATTTCCACAAAATATATTAAAGGTGAAGAGGATTAAGTCAGAAGATGATTGACCCTAAAAAAGAAAATAATCGAATTATAGATTGATCTAATTATGGAAATACCATTAAGAGGATTAATCAAGTAACAAAAAATTAATTCACCAATTGAATGATTTTAAGAATTTTAGATTGACCGTGATCTCATTAAGATGAGATTTTGAATTAATTATTGTTAAGCATTTTCTTAAGTTTAT